TCACACACACACACTCTCTCTCTCACACACACACACACTCACTCACTCACTCACTCTCACACACACACACACACACACACAAAGCAGCTCCGCGCTCATAAACGCTGCTTTACACGTTTCTGAGGACAGCCGACAACCGAAATATTTCATCTCATATGAGATCTCATATTTATTCACTGACATCATTGCCTTTTGAAGTTTAATCCAGCTGTATTGCGAAAGACCTCTTGAAATTATAATTAAGACATTTCTTATACCATTTAACGTATTTAAACCTTTGTATGGCCTTAAGTTTGATACAGCTCACTGCAGGAGTGTTTAAGGACCCGCGGGAGATCTGCGTTTAAGAGCCCGTCGGCAGAGTGCTGGTAGCCGACTGGAAACACAACAGCAGCCCCGGGACGTCGAGCTGGCGAGCCCTGGTGTGTGAACTCTGTATATCTATTATGTATATATAAATACACACACATGCATGTGTATATTTCAGATTTGTTTTATTATTATAATATATTAAATACATTTATTTATAATATAAATTATACGAATATAAATATAGACATGTACAAATGTTCTAAATTTATACCGTATGTGTGTGTATTTATATATACATAAATATACACAGAACACACAATGCAAACGAAAACTTATTTGGGATGCGATTAATCACAATTAATCATTTGACAGCACTAACATATATATATATATATATATATATATAGAAACAGCATTGCACTGCAAAAATGATTATCTTAGTATTGTTGTCTGGGTTTCCATGAATATATCTAAATACTGTTAACTTGAGGCAAAATGACTATTACATCTTTTTTCCCTGACAAATCTATTAAAATTAAGAGTTTACGCTTAAAACAAGAACAAATGTCTGCCAATGGGGCCACAAAATAAACTTAATTCAAAATGTCTCACACACACACACACACACACTCTCTCTCTCTCTCTCTCACACACACACACACACACACACTTTTAAACAGTATCTTTGGCACCCAGAACAGTTCAACTAAATGCTGAAACCTTTAAAGACTTTTCATATACTGCTGAATTATATCTATTATAACACTGACATTAATAACTGAACCATAAAAAAATGAAAACAAAAACTTGCACAAAACAAAATATAAAAAACACCTCAGACTGGATCAGAGCAATATTGGGGTTTATAATAAAAAGGTAAAAATATAAAATGGAAGAATAATGACATTCACAGAATGAGCATCTTTGACACACACCATACACAACACACACAGACAGACACACACACACACACACAGACACACACATTCACTCACTCACACACAACACACGCACACACACACAGACAGCACTGACACACAGACACTCACACACAGACACTCACTCACTCACACACAACACACGCACTCACTCACACACAACACACAGACACTCACTCACTCACACACAACACACGCACTCACTCACACACAACACACAGACACTCACTCACTCACACACAACACACGCAC